AGGAGGAGGAGGAGGAGAAGAGGAGGAGGAGAGGAGGAGGGAGGAGGAGGAGGAGGAGGAGGGGAGGAGGAGGAGGAGGAGGCGGGAGAGGAGGAGGAGGAGGAGGAGGAGGAGGAGGAGGAGGGAGAGAGGAGGAGGGAGGAGCAAGGAGGAGGAGGAAGAAGAGGAGAAGGGCAGGGGGAGGAGTAGTAGGAGAAAGAGGAGGGGAGGAGGAGGAGGAGGAGGAGGAGGAGGAGGAGGAGGAGGAGGAGGAGGGGAAAGGGAGGAGGAGGAGGAGGTGGGGGAGGAGGAGGAGGAGGAGGAGGAGGAGGAGGAGGAGGAGGAGGAGGAGGACGAGTAGGAGGAGGAAAAGGAGAAGGGGGAAGGGAGGAGGAGGAGGAGGAGCTCGAGGAGGAGGATGAGGAGGAGGAGGATGAGGAGGAGGAGGAGGAGCAGGAGCAGGAGGAGGAGGAGGAGGAGGAAGAGAAGAGAAGGGCAGGAGGATGGAGGAGGAGTGCCAGTGCAAACCCAAGAGGCATTAACGATGATGGAATAAACCCTCCCTCCAATCCTTTTCATCGGCCCCTACAACGGTTCATCTCTACTGAGGAAACTGCCTCGTTGGAAGACAACCGTTTGAATACCCTTACAGCATGCCAAAACATTGGTCTCGGGGTTCCAACGCCACGTATCAACCGGACTGTTGCGTGTTGACGGTCCTGAATCGTGCCAGAGCGCCATTCTTGGGACTTCGACACAGCGAATCCACGTAACTGTTGCGCCCGCGTAATCCTGAATCTTTTGAAAGCACCATGTCTGGTACGTTGATGATGTGAACCCGTGGAAGTCTTGCAAATTTTGTACACGAGCGTGCGCGGCGCTAAGGCGAGAACCACTTTCTCAAAAGGAGTCACCCTCAATCCGTGAAGCTCTTGTAAATTTTGGAATGTACGTGGCGCTAAGGCGAGAGCCACATTTGGAAAAGGAGCCGCCCTCAATCCGTGAAGCTCTTGCGAATTCTGAAAACGAATGTGCGCCGCGCTGAGGCGAGAGCCACATTTTGAAAACCACCCGCCCTCAATCCGTGAAGCTCTTGCAATTTTTAACACGATTGTGCGCCGCGCGAAGGCGAGAGCCACATTTTGAAAACCACCCGCCCTCAATCCGTGAAGCTCTTGCACATTTTTAAATGTGCGCCGTGCTAAGGCGCGAGCCACATTTGAAAACCTCCCGCCCTCCATCTATGAAACTACTGCCAATTTTAAGCTTCAGAGTCATACATGGTGAGGAAGTCTCAGGCGAAACGCCCAGCCCGCCCTAAAAGCTGGCCTCGGGGTGCGACTGGGGAAAGTTATTGATAAGGCAAAGAAATGGAGGATGAGGAGGAGGAGGATGAGGAGGAGGAGGAGGAGGAGGAGGAGGAGGAGGAGGAGGGGGAGGAGGAGTGGAGTGAGGACGGGGGACTGGAGTGAGGACGGGGAGGGCGATGATTGAGGGGCCATTCGACTATTGAGACGGAGAGGATGGGGAAGGGACTGACGACGGGGAAGACGACGACTGAGAGGAAGAGGACCGCGACGAGGGGAGCAGCCCGCCCCCCCGGTCGCCAGGAGGCCGGCCGCCACTCTGGCGGGGCGCCCGGGGCGGAGGGCGCCGCGGCGTGGAGGCGCCCTCGGCGCGCGCCGCGCGGCGGCCTTCGGGGGTTCCCCGAGGGGCTCCGGGGGCCTCCGAGGACCGCGCGCCGCCCGAGGAGGAGGAGGAGGAGGAGGAGGAGGAGGAGGAGGAGGAGGAGGAGGAGGAGGAGGAGGAGGAGGAGGAGGAGAGGAGGAGGATGATGAGGATGATGATGATGATGATGATGATGATGATGATGATGATGATGATGATGATGATGATGATGATGATGATGATGATGATGATGATGATGATGATGATGATGATGAGAAGGAGGAGGAGGAGGAGGAACCGATAAAGAGGTGATTGGAAGGGGAGAAGAGGAGAGAGGACGGGGGCGGGAGGAGTTAGCAGGGAGGGATGGAGACAAAGGAGGAGGAGGAGGAGGAGCAGGAGGAGGAGGAGCAGGAGGAGGAGGAGGAGCAGGAGGAGGAGGAGGAGGAGGAGGAGGAGGAGGAGGAGGAGGAGGAGGAGGAGGAAAGCATCTAAGAGCAAGGAGAGGAGGATAGGGGAACTGATGGGGGGGGAGGAGGGCGGAGGGACCACAGGAGGGGGGAAGAGGGAGGAAGGTGCGAAGAGCTGTCCAGCTGTTCAGGTTCTGGCCGTCCTCCCGTTCTCTCTGCGCGCTGCTGCCGCGGTAGGGGGGCGCGCCCTCACACTCCTGGTTCTCCTGTCGCCTCGAGTTCTTCCCCTGCCTGTCTGCGCAGGTAGTGCCAGTCTGTGAGAGCGCGTGGGCGACAGCTGGATTTCCTGTCGCCTCGCGTTCATCCCCTGCCCGTCTGCGCAGCTGGTGCCAGCCCGTGAGAGCGCCTGGGCGACAGCTGGATGATGCAGCAGTGCCACCTCCGCCGCCAGAAGACAGTACCAAACAGTTGCGGTAGAAACGCGCATCTGATCGCGCAAGGGGCCAAGCCGCCTAGCACGAATCAGAGCACACTTGCTGATGTGGGGCCACAGGCTTCGCCCATGGTCCGCGCTGGACAGCCACTCCAGGGAATTCCGGGTGTCTGCCCTTGCAGGTGGCTATCCAGCTACTCTTGGCATCCGAGCTGAGTGGGGAGCCCAAACAATAATCGAGACGCTTCGCGTTCACCGCCCGCCCATTTCCAGTTCTCGCCTGATCAGGCGAAGGCGGCTCCGCGATGGGATGAACATATCCCGAAACCAGGAGTGACCTTCCCGCAGATGCGTGTGTTTTATATTTCTTCCTGCGCTCCAAGTCTTACCCATCACATCGCGGAGTGGGAGGCTGAGGTATGGCGTGTGGCTGATCGATGCCCCTCATCATTATTATTAAATCGGGCATGTCCCTCTACAGGAAGAATCTTCAATACTAGGAAGCACATAACCTGGGTACGTTTTTTCGTGCCATTTTGTGACTACGTTTGAATATGGTTTTGACTATTTCTCATTTTCCGTCCAGCATCCGCCTGTAGGAGGACATGCTCGACCTAACATTACGAACGGATTAGGGATATGGACGCTGGTTGCCGACATGGAGCAACCATGCAGCCCGAAAGCGCATTGTGAACGGTGTGACGTTCGAGGTCGCCTTGGACGCCGTCTGGAGCCTTGGGGCCCGAGAAGGGCAGGTGACGCAGCGGGCGGCGGAAGGGCAGAGCCCGCTTTGGGAAGAAGGGGGGGAGGGCCAAAGGAGCCCTCTCGGCTGAATCCCACACGCCCTCAGTCCAGTGGGCGGGCGGATTCAGGAGGCTTGCTCCATTCCACGGACCCCGCACAGAAGAGGACCTGTGCGGCTTCTGATTCTTCTGATTTCGAGTGTGTGTGTGTTGTTTGCCGCTTCCCGTCGCGCTGCCTGCGTGTCGCTACTGCTGACGTGTGTGGCTTCCTGGGCATCTGTTGCGGGGCTTCTTGGCGGCCTCTTTGAGGCCTCGGGGGCGGCCTCGCGGGAGCCATTTCAGGGCTCCTGGGGGCTTTTGGGGGTCCTGTGGGCCTCTTGGGGCCCTTTTGGAGGCATGTTTGGGGTCTTGGGGGCCATTGAGCCGGGGAGTGCCCCCAAGACCCCTGCGAGTTCCCTCTCTTGGGCCTCTTTCGGGGGCTCTCTTGAATGCCTGTCTGGATCTCTCGGAGGCCTCTTGGGCCGTCTTGGGGCTCTCTTGGGGGCGAGTCCGGGCCCTCTTGGGGGCTTCTTGGGCCTTCATGGGCCAGTCTGGGGTGGGCCTCTTGGACCGCGCAGGTCTTGCATTAGCCCGAAAAGGCGAGAACGCGAACATACTCAAACGTCAAAATAGAATGGGGTTCTCTTGGGGCCCGCTCGGAGCGTCTTGGGGGCCTCTTGGGCCGTCTTGAGGCCATCTTGGGTGTTCTTGAGGCCTCTTCGGCGTGTTGGAGCCCTTCTTGAGTCATCCTTGGCACCCTGCAGGCCACTGGTGCTAGACGTAGACGGCCCGAGGGTCCCAGAGGTGCGTTGCCGAGTTCGCCCCCCTCCCTAAGCTAGATTTTGGCCCGTGGGGGAGGGGGAACAGCCAATGTCTCGCACTCACCCTCGCGCAGCGAGGGTCGGCGGATTTCAGCTAGTTTTGCGATTGGCCATACCCGCCGTAGGTTTTGCAACAGAGGCACGCGACCATGGCTGCACCGCTTGAACTTGAACTCTCAAGAACAGCCGGACAGCGAGAACGGACTAGGACGGACTAGGCTTGGGACAGTTTCGTGCAAGAGCCCGGAGGAAGGGGGCGCTGAGCAGCAACATCTCCAACATACGTACAGTGTCGGGGTCTTCATGCTCGGGTGCAAGCAAGTGGAGCATCGCCAAAAGTCATGCTCATGTATCCACGTGTGCACAGGGCTCGTAGGGTCTCGAGCGCTGGAGCCTGACCCAAAACCTTACCCAGCACATCGGTGAGGTTTAGCCTGGGGAGGGGGACGACGAGGGGGAAAGAGGATGGAGGTTCAGTTGAAGGGCACAAGGGCCCACGGCAGGCTGAAGGCGCGGCGGCGGGGCGGCATGGAGGTCTTCAGAGGAACACCAGCCGAACGGCCTCTGGGTCCGAGAAGAGAGCTCCCGCTGCCAGGCAGCCCCGCGGGAACGCGTGCTGTCAGGTGCATCTCTGTTCACTGGCACCTGTGCGCAGAGCGAAGGGTGGCATCTCTCGGGACGATCACGGAAATCATCGGAACGAGGACCGACTGTATTTCTTCATCATTTGAACAGGACTCGTTGTTGGTGTCGCCGCGGACGTTGTCAATTGGAGACACAACGCCGCTTGCCGAACAGCGGCCGCTGTCGATTTTCGACAACGTTTGTTTTTGCACATCGTACCGTTTTTTTTTCCGTGCCCATTTCGGGCGTCCAAGCTATCATTTTCTTCGGTCTTCCCGTCTGCAGCCATTTGGGCTCAAGTGTGTCTGGCCCAGTAGCGACCAGCACTTCCTGCTGCCGAGCCCCTCAGCCCGCAGGGGTCGCTTGCGGTGTCCGAGCCGCGATGGCTGGCCCACGATCGGAGGACCTCCCAACTGTCGGCGAGTGCCCTGAGATGGGACAACTGCGTGACTGGGTCACCGGCAACGACGAGTCGCGCTACGATTTCCAGGCGGCTGGGACACTGCGCTTGGACGTGACGCACTCGAACTTAGTGCAGAGGTGGCATGACATCATCTTCGATGTCAACATGACCGTGTCGGCGGTGAAGGACAAGCTGTACCGCCACGGCGGCACGCCTGCCAAGCACCAGGAGCTGTACCTCCGACGGGGCGGGGGTGACACGATATTCCTGATGGACGCCAGCAAGACGCTGGGCTACTATGGCGCCAGGAACGGCATGGAGATCCATATCAAGGACACGGACGAGTTCTCCATCTCGAAGCACGGCGGCCTCGAGGACGTCAGCCAGGTCGAGAAGTACGTCATGGACGACGACCACTACGACAAGCTCACGAACACCGTGCGCGCCTGCAAGAGGAGGGAGCAGGAGCAGCGCGCCAGGGCCGAGGCAGCCCGGCGGGCCGCGGGCGGCGAGGCACTAGCAGAGGCGCAGGCCGAGGAGGAGGAGGAGGAGCCCCTGGAGGCGGTGCTGGAGCGGATCCCGCTGGGCAGCCGCTGCCAGGTCGAGCCGGGCAGCCGGCGAGGGGAGGTCGCCTTCGTCGGCAAGGTGGCCGGGGCTAAGAGGGGCGCGTGGGTCGGCGTGTGCCTCGACGAGCCGCAGGGCAACAACGACGGGACAGGCTCGGCGGCTTGCCTAAGTGGGCCGGGGGGCGGGGCCAGTGGGGCGGCCCTTTACGAAGGCACCCCGCCTCCCGGCAGCTTTGTAGGGGCCTTCTCAGAGGCCTGTAGTCACCACTCACCGAACCGCCCCAACCCAACCCGAAGGTCCTGATATGCCCTCCAGTTCCAGTGTGGGCATGGAAAACATACTTATGAAGCCCGTGCTTTCCTGGCAGCCCCGGAATTCAGGTCTTCGAGTTGGGTTGTGGTGGTCTTGTAGGTAGTCATCCAGGAGAGGTCCATGCTTTCAAAGAGCCCCCCCGCCTTTTCAGAGAGGTCGCCCCCCTGGGCCCTGCCTCCGGGAGTGCGCCGCCAGCAGGCAAAGATGGGGCTCGGTACTTCGATTGTCCAGGCCCCAAGTACGGCTGCTTCGCCAAGCCGGAGAACGTCACGGTCGGCGATTTCCCAGTTTTAGATCCGTTTGCCTCGGACGACGAGTTCTGAGTTTGCAGGCGGCCCTGGCCTGAGCTCGGTTGGTGGAGAATTCACGCGTGGCACTGTTTTTTGTGATAGCTTCTTTGCGGAACTTGCGGCGGACCATGCGCATCGAAGCAGTTCCCGCCAAGTGTAGGACTGCGACGATTGCTGTTCTGTCTTGTACGAGAGAGAAGGCTGGTGGATGCACCACGCCTGCGACTGCCCAAAGACAGCCTCGGTGCGGGGGGCTTGACCTTGCTGGCTGCAAAGCAGCAGATCCCTCTCTTGTTGCTCTTCATCCTCGTCCTGCTGCCCCCTCTGCTTGTCCTCCTGCTGTTCATCTCCTAATTCCTCCACCTCCTCCCTCCCCCCCTAAGACTTGGAATCTATAGAATCAGTCGAACACGGTTAAATCGCTCTCCAGCTCCAAAGTTCTCCTCGTCTTCGTCTTCTTCTTTTCATTCGTATTCCTCCTCCTCTTCCCTGGAACTCTCCCAGATCGCACTCTGACCAGTCGTCGTCGACGACGACGACCGCGACGACGACTGCGACGACGACGGCGACTCCGACGTTGACGTTGACAACCGCGACGACGACGACGACAACGGTTGACGGCTGACGACTGACGACTGACGACTGACGACCGAAGACCGACGACCGACAGCCGACGAGTGACGACCGAGGACCCACCACGGAAGCCGACGGCTGAAGAACGACAACCCAAAGCCGACAGCGACCGACGACGACTGCCGGTGACGACGACTGCGACGACGGCCTCGGAAATGACGAAGATGATTGGTGGCGTCGATCAGCGTGGACGACGACATCTAAAAATTCGACCCCCAGTCCTCTCTCGGAGCGCTCTCTGCTCAGGACCTTGAGGCGGATCCAGCTTTGGCGATCAGGGCCGTCCTAGAGTCCCCAAAGGACAAAGCACGTGGGAATACAAAGTCGTCGGTCGTTGTCTTCGTCGTTGTCGTCGTCGTCGCCGCCGCCGCCGTCGTCGTCGTCGTCGTCGTCGTCGGAGGAGGAGGAGGAGGAGGAGGAGGAGGGGTAGGAGGAGGAGGAGGAGGAGGAGGAGGAGGAGGAGGAGGCTCGGCCTCGATGACGGCGACGACGTCGTCGACGGCGACCACGACCACGACGACGGCGACATACGACCGACGACCGACGACGCTCTCGACGATGACTACGACGACCGACGACCGGCGACGCCCTCGACCTCGACGACGACGACCGGCGACGCCCTCGACGACGACGACGACGACGACGACGACGACGACGACGACGACGACGACGACGACGACGACGACGACGGACGACGACGACGACGGCGTACGACGACGACGACGACGACGACGACGACGACGACGACGAAGAGGCGACGACTGGCAGGCAAGCTTTCGAGGGCCGCACCGCGCTGCTGGCGCTGGACGCCGCCCGCGCCGCGGCCCAGAGGGCGCTGGCTGGCCTGGGGGCGCCGGGGCGACTTGAGCGTAGGCGCGCACGTCGCCGCCGCCGTCGCCGTCGCCGTCGCCGTCGCCGCCGCCGCCGCCGTCGCCATCGCCGCCGCCGTCGCCGTCACCCTCGCCGCCGCCGCCGTCGCCGTCACCCTCGCCGCCGCCGCCGCCGCCGCCGCCGTCGCCGTCGTCGCCGTCGTCGTCGTCGTCGTCGTCGTCGTCGTCGTCGTCGTCGTCGTCGTCGTCGTCGTCGTCGTCGTCGTCATCGTCGCCTTCTCCGACGACGATCGACGACCGACGACCGACGACGACCTCGACCTCGACAACGGTTGCCGTCGTCCTTGTCGTCGTCGTCGTCGTCGACGACGACGACGATCGAGGATCGAGGCATTTGGCTTCCGCAGGCCTCCGCAGGCCGCTGCCTCTAAGCTGATCGCGACGAGGAGGGCGACGATGACGCCAATGACGACGGCAACCTCTAGTGGGACGTCGGACACAACTTCCAGAGACCCCAGAGGCCCCCTGGAGGCCCCCCGGAGCCCCTCCAGAGGCCCCCCCCCAGGCCTTTCCGGAGGCCTCCAGGGACCCGCCGAGGACCCGCCGAGGACCCGCCGAGGGCCCGCCGAGGGCCTGCCGAGGGCCGCCGCGGGCCGCCGCGGGCTCTCGAGCCCGAGGGCCGCCGCGGGCCGCCGCCGCCGTGTGCTCGGCCGCCCGGCGCCGCCCACGGCCGCAGAGGCCCCCGCTCGCGCGGCGGGCGGCGCAGCAGGACGGGTGCCGCCCTTGCCGCAGGGGTCTGCGGGCGTCCCAGGGGGGGGGGGGCTGCGCCTTCGGCGCGCGGCGCCGTCGGCCCAGAGGCGGCGCGCGGGGCGAGGAGCGCGCCGCGGTCCGCCTCCAGGGCGGCGCGGCTTCCGGCAGTCGCCTGCGGCTTCGGCGCGCTGCGGCCGCGGGCCCAGGCTGGAGCCAGCAATGTGCACTGTAGCCCAACGTGCTTGGACCCAAGTGGTTAATTTCGACGGAGGAGGAGGAGGAGGAGGAGGAGGAGGAGGAGGAGGAGGAGGAGGAGCGAGGAGGAGGAGGAGGAGGAGGAGGAGGAGGAGGATGAGGAGGAGGAGGAGGAGGAGGAGGAGGAGGAGGAGGAGGAGGAGGAGCGAGGAGGAGGAGGAGGAGGAGGAGGAGGAGGAGGAGGAGGAGGAGGAGGAGGGAGGAGGGAGGAGGAGGAGGAGGAGGAGGAGGAGGAGGAGGAGAGGAGGAGGAGGAGGAGGAGGAGGAGGAGGAGGAGGAGGAGGAGGGAGGAGGAGGAGGAGGGGGAGGAGGAGGAGGAGGAGGAGGAGGAGGAGGAGGAGGAGGAGGAGGAGGAGGAGGAGGAGGAGAGGAGGAGGAGGAGGAGGAGAGGAGGAGGAGGAGGAGGGAGGAGGAGGAGGAGGAGGAGGGGCTTCGCGTTGGCCGGCGGAGGCAACCTGGCGGCGGGTCCGCTGGCAGGAGCTGGCGGAAGCAGGGCGGATGGCAGCGGAAGTGAGAATGAGGCATCCGCATGTTTGGGCCCATGGTTTCCGCAGCCGCTGGCGGTTGCATGCCTTTCTAGCGCTAGGCCCTCGCACGGCCAGGCAAGAGGGCCCCCGAAGGTGTATCCAGCATGTGACCTCCGCATGTTCCGCATGTGGATCCAGCCATGCGTGTGTTGCAGCTTCCTGGTAGACCTGCAGTTGCGCCTGTTGAACCAGCGTTTCACCTGAGGCGCCCGCCACGCTGGAAGAGCTACTCCCCCGCCGCAGGGTCTGCCTGCGGCCTCGCCGCGCTATTCGAACTGCTGTTGCGCCTGCCGGCCCTTCGCTTCGCCTGCGGCTTCCGCTGCGCTTTCGGAGCTGCGTTCCCCCGCGCAGAGCTCTGTCCGCGGCCCCGCCGCGCTAGGAAGGCCGGCGGCCGGTTTGTCGCGACGCGCCGACGCGGCGGCGACGGAAGGCCCTCGAGGTGAAGGTTTTGCTTGGTGGCTCGGGGGCGCCCCCTCGCGGCCACCGCTGGACTCAGCTCGAAAGACTTGTCCAGATGGCGTCAAGCAGGCGTCCGAGTGCCGATCGTGAGCGAACGTGGCCCTGGGGAGGTTCGCGCCGCCTCGACGCGGCGGCGACGCCAGTGCGGGCGGTCAGGGTGGTATGCCCTCTGGGGAGCCCGCCTCGGGCCCTGCGACCAACAGGGACCAGCCCGCCGCTCTAAGTCCGTACGAACGTTGGATCGGCCGCCGCTGGGGGTATCTGGGAGCGGAATCGCTCAAGGATGAACGTTTCACGCGGTGCCATCAACTAGTGCCCACGTCGTCAGGGCTTGAGTGACGGTCCTGCTAGCATGTGGACTCCGCGTCGACCTCAGTGGCGCGGTAGCGGATCGCACGGCAGTTGATTTTGTGCGGTGTGGAGGTGGAGCTTCATTGTTCGTATGAAACAAATCGTTTCCACGTGGTACATGCAAGACTCTTGCTGACGTTGCGCCGAGTAGCTGAGAATTCTAGACGCTTCACGCAACCCCACCAGCCCATCCAGAAACGATGCCCAGGCGAGTTGCACTGATCAGGCATGTGGAGGATCATGCAGTGGAATGAAGGCTGGGAAGCCGTCAGACCCCAAGCGGGGGAGGATGGGAGAGGAACTGGAAGACTAGGAGGAGGAGGAGGAGGAGGAGGAGGAGGAGGAGGAGGTGGAGGAGGAGAGGGGAGGAGGAGGAGGAGGAGGAGGAGGTGGAGGAGGAGGAGGGGAGGAGGAGGAGGAGGGAGGAGGAGGGGGAGGAGGAGGAGGAGGAGGAGGAGTGGGAGGAGTGTGGGAGGAGGATGAGGAAGGGGAGGGGCAGTGGGAGGAGGGAGGAGGGAGAAGGGAAGCGGAATGAGGAGGGTTAGGCGGATAAGGAAGAGAAAGATGAGGAGGGCGAGCAGAAAGGCGAGAGGCCTCCTCGGAGTCTCTTCGGACGTCTCTTGAGAGCTTCCCGTAGGCCTGCTGGGCGTCTTGGGGGCCTCATGACGGTCGTCTTGAAGCGTCTTGGGTGCCTCGGGAAAGCTTCTTCGGCCTCTCGGGGGTCTCTTGGGAGTCTCTTGGGGGCATCTTGGGGGCATTTTGGGGGCATCTTGGTGGTGTCTTCGGGCCTCCTGGGCGCCTCTTGGGCGCCTCTCGGGGCACGCCCAGGACACTCTTGGGAGCCTCGGGGGCCATCTTGGGGCCATCCTGGATGTGACAAATCAAAATAGGAGTGGTGCTCAATTAGGCCCCCCCCCCCGAGGCCAAACTTGGGACAACACTTTAGTACATGAACAAAGCGATTCTGGCCTTCTCGCCGAGGCCTTCTTGGACGCTATAGCCCCTCGCGAAACGCCCCGTCCAGGTCCAGGGGGAGGGAGTAGGGGGAGGGGTAAACCGCACCGCGAAGCGGAATAGGGAAGATGGACGAGGAAATTCTCTTACCCATTCACGCTGTAGAGGGCTTCTGTCCTTCGTCGCCTCTGCGGGAGGTCACCCGCGGGGATGCGCGAAGAGGACCACGCTAGACGCGAAGAGGACTGCGCTGGGCGCTGCCGCGATCTGGGCTGGAGAGGCCCTGCTGCGCTGCTATGAGTATGAGGGCATTTTGCATTCAATGATCGTATTTTCAAGAACGAAATAATGACGTACACGTACACGAATTCACGTTGGTTTCGAAAAGTACGCTTTGCGCCAATGTTCTTATCACGAGGCTGGTCTTGCGGACTCGGGGTCCGTATTTATGTACGTGGTTGGGCACATACGTCCTTTGTGGGCTCCCTGATTTTTCGGGGCCTCCGCTGGGGTGAGCTCGCCCATGTTCCACCTTCTTTCTCCCCTTCCCACCATCCGCTTCTCCTCGCCTCCTCTTTCTCAGCCCTGCTCCC